TTTATTTTTATAGAAAACATAGGCAAGCCTTGCGCCTTCTTAGAAATTTTGTGACTTCCCATAAACTACTACATTCTCCACATTCCAATTTTTTCAGTCGTTAATTGTGACCAAGAGTGAATGGCTTGACAGGATTTCGCTCGGGGCACTCTAAGCCACATGTTCATCTGCCCATTCATTAAACTTCTTAGTATTAAGAGTGAAGGAATACACTGGGCTAGCACTTGTCACCATTCCCTAGCTTGCCACCGTCTTTGGTCAGCTTATATTGCCTCTTCACTTCTGAGTTTGTTAGAGTTGCCAACTGAGGCAACTGACTTGCTAAGAGAGATGGGGAGATCAGGATGAATGCATATTAAATTTCATCAAACTCTTCCTGGTGTCATAAAGTTAGCAAATGGCATTATTTATGGCATTAATCAGTGCATTTGTCCCTGCTCCCTCCTTTCATACTCATCTCCTGGAAAATGATTGAACAAATCTTACCATGTATAAAGGTCAAAGATGAATAGTTTATTTGCATCCACCTCATTGGTCCTCCCAATTATCCCATAATGTAGGGTGAAGTTAATTCAAGTTTTCCAGGCTCAGAGACAAATAATTCCCCCAAATGCATGTGACCATCAAGTGTCAAACCTGGGTATTTGAACACTTCGAGTATGATTCTGGAGCCATAGCTTTTGCCACTTGACTATTCTTTCTTCCAAGGAAGAGCTATGGGATTAGAGACAGTTGGGAACACCGACCCAAATGAGGTAATATGGCCTGTCTCAGAGACGTGTAGCACATACTCACACTCAGCATTTGGTAGCCCCTCTTTTTTCCCTCCTCATTCTCTAGGTCTGGACTTTTCCTAAGTTGTTATTTGGAAGACCAACACAGGGAAATTATAAAGGAAGGTGTAATTTTAAGTAATTTATGGAAAATGGCCACTACTCAGGGAAGGAAAGGTAAATGGCGTCCATTGAATGCTGGCATCCGTTGTTACCACATGTACCTACTGCTACAGGTATTGGCCCACTTTACAGATGAGGCATTAGCGTTCTTTAGGTTTACCCCCTTGCATTGTTTCTGATGCTTAAATACAGATATTGTCCCTCCTTTCCAGATGCCCTCTGCCTAGTGAGAATTCAGATATGAACATATGAATTACCATAGACGGGAATGAAAGTGATGAAAGAAATATATACTGAAAAAATCTATTTACTGAAACTTTTGGTTCATTCATTCAAAAGCTTCCAGTAAAAAAAATAGAAATAGTTTCATGAGATTCTTCTGAGTTCTAGAATTTTCCTTTGGAGAATAGGCCACTTATGTTTTTGTTTGGAATTTAATTTATGGTAAGGTATTCAAAAGTCATTATTAATTTGAAGCTTATTCAAACAGTTGAAGAATGCCATAAAAATGATACTTTCTGTGGTCCTGGATAACTTCCTCCATAAAACCTCCATGGATGGTGCTGAACGCCTGACCATTTGCAGGATTAAGCAGGTATATCTTGAACAATTGTCTGTAGTCAGAGGCAGTAAAATCAAAGCTATGACGTTTTTATCCCATCAGGCTGTTCCAGATACTAGTTCCACCTTTTGACAGGATGCCAAGCAGTTGACCATTAAAACAACGTATCTGGCACCACGATATCTGGTTTTTGAAAAACTCATTCCAATAAAACAAAATAACATTGCACTTCAGTTTTCAATTGCTTTTCTTTTTTGATTGTCTTTGAACAGACACGTATTTGATTCACAGGATGCACTTAAGTTTAATGTTCCCATAACCACAGACAAAATTTTGTGCTATTTTAAATAAGTTTTAATAGAAAGCATGGATGATAGTAAGAAACATAGTAAAACCTAGTGACTTCCTGATACATCTATAAACTGTGAGCTATTTTGGGAAAATGTAAAAACAATGCACAAAGAGACCCCACCCCCAAATCAAGTCCCAAATAATCTTGAATCAAATATAATTAGAAGGAGGAGTTGAAACAAACAAACAAACAACAAAAAAAGCAAATTCTTGACCAAAGAAATATTGATACTATTCTCAAATGTTAATGAAATGCAAATCTGTGAAGATGAACAATGTCACTTTGAAATGACACTATCAATTTTAGCAGACAGTGCAAGTAGTAATCTAATTGATGACCATAAGGAAGATTTCACAGTATTATGAAACTAAATGTATGCCTTTTACAAGGAAGAAAATGAGTACAAGAGAAGCTAATTCTACTCATAAATAATATTACAAAGTTCCTTTTTAAATAAAGAAATGTTTTGTTATATCTGCTATGTCTTAGAAAGACATGTTATAATGCTTTTTTCCTCAGTTTCCAGAGTAGAAACTCATGCTTTCCCTTGCTCCCAAAGCAAGAAAACAAGCCCATTCTTTCCATTGGCATTCCAATTCACTATTCCCCCCCACAACATATCACCTCTTTTACTATATCCAGATTGAGGGTTTTGAAAATGTAAACCAGTCCTACTGTCTTAGAAACATACATAAGAAGTCTTTCTTTAAAAAAAAATAATAAAAAAATAAGTAAACTTTTTCATATTGGGATCTAGGGCACTGTAAGAAAGGTATTCCAATTGATGGCAGAAAGCCATTATGAGGAAACAAACTGTATATAAGCATGGGGACACAGCCTTTGTAGCTCTGAAATAACTTACACAAAGAACTCATATATAAATTTGGCTCACCTCAGCAATGCTTTTTCTTTAAATTACACAGAAATCTGAAATGCATTGGGTGTATGTAAGGGCAAACTGTGGCCCTGAGTAAAAATGTGTATTTAAAAGGGGAAATGTGGAAGTAATTATTACCTTGATGTATTTACCAGAATGCACAGAATGTATTCAGCATGTCTCGCTTGGGCATTGAGGGTTTCGCAGAACACCTATGACTCTAAAACTCCAGCATTTGGCATCATGTGATCCGGGAGTTAGTGATAAACTACCTTTACCCAGGCACTGTTGTCTTGGAAAGCCTCAAGGAGCCAGGCTGCTGAGAAGAACTGAAATCATTATTTGAAATGAATGAGTCAGTCTTCTCTGGTTCAAAATGAACAGTGTTGCAGGCAGGCACTTTCGAGAAATAAACAGGAACTTTTGTTTCCTTCCACATGGAGACTAAAAAAGCCAGGCGAAGCAAAGTGTGCTAAGTAATGGCAAAAAATTCTAGTTGGATTTCATGATTACTGTTGGGTCTTTAAATTGTACCTCTAAACCAAACATTCATATTTCCTGCAAACCAGACTTAAAAGGAGGCTCTGGCCAGTATTAAGAAGTGTCCATATGCCCAAGAGTGGGGAGTATGTGTATGTATCCATGGGTTCCAATGCGCTGGCTACGGTAGATATGCTGTGCAGAGTAACCTGAAGTGGGGAAAGTGTACAGTGGGAATCCAAGCCAAAGACCTTGAGGAAATGTCCAAAGTAGAAAGCTGATGAAAACATAGGAAAGTCCCTAATTTAGAGATGCAGAGACAGCTACAAGTGGGGCCCTGGGAAAGAAGCCACACTGAAGTAGACAGACCATAAACAACATGGAGTGTCCCCTCTGATTTCAGCACAAACCAGTGAGCATTTAGGGTTTATTTTAATGGGACTACAAGTGCCTGATCCATGAATATATAGAGCCAGCCAAATAGAACAGGATCATGAGATCTAAATGTTTGCATTTGTCTTGGCTTCTGGAATGGTAGATAATAACAATTGCCTTTTTACAGCAAAGTTCCAGGACACATTGCTACTCCTCCTGTTCCTCTGTGATCACACCTCACAGACTCTGTAAATGAATTTGAGATTAACGGATACAAATAAAATGCTGAGCTTCTGAAGTGAGGGAGTTTTCAGGTTATAGAGAACCTTCAAATACCATACCTAGCAGAAGGGAGCAAGACTTAGTTCAGTCTAGGAAAGTACATAGCCGTTTTCTGCTGAGGACAAATGTTGGAAAGGCCATCCTAGGTAAAGAAGAAACACCATGTGTAAACAAACCAGTGTACCTAAGGAACTAGAGTGATTTATTATGGATGGACCACAGATTATTGGCAGGGAGTGGCAAAAGGCATGGTTAGAAATGTTCAGGCTAAGGCCAGATTCTAAAGGAACTAGCTAACCCATGTTATGGAATTTTAGCTTTATCTTGTAGGCCATGATGAGTGATTAATACTACTAATGGGATGATGGGGATGGGGTCAGGGATCACATGTTTCAGTGTATACTCCAGAAATCTACCTCTGGCAACAAGATGAATAGTTTGGAATGAGCAAACCTAGTGGTAGGGGAAATCAGTTAGAAAGTGTTGCAATCGTTCAGTGAACAAAATAATGGATATTATGGAATAAGCAGCAACAGAACAACTGAGATAGTGAACTCAAGAATATTCAGGAGAGGGGCGCCTGGGTGGCGCAGTCGGTTAAGCGTCCGACTTCAGCCAGGTCACGATCTCGCGGTCCGTGAGTTCGAGCCCCGCGTCAGGCTCTGGGCTGATGGCTCAGAGCCTGGAGCCTGTTTCCGATGCTGTGTCTCCCTCTCTCTCTGCCCCTCCCCCATTCATGCTCTGTCTCTCTCTGTCCCAAAAATAAATAAATGTTGAAAAAAAAAAGAATATTCAGGAGAAAATGTGGCAGTACTTACAGAAATGGATCATCAGGGCCAGTGGGGTTGTTTGGTAGTATGGAATACAGGAGAAAAAGCAGATGTGTCATGGAGGAGGGAACAAAAGAGACAAGTTTCATTTTGAAAATGACGTGTCTGTGTGGCACATCTGGGTGCATTTGCTTGGGATCAGATGGAATTACTGCTTTTAGAATTAAATTCTATTATTCAGTTCACTTTTTGTTGCAAGTGACACAAGCCCAACTCTAACTAGTTTAAACCAAATGAACGGATTTATTAGCTTTTTCAAGGGACACAGCTGGATTCAGAGATCTAAACATTATTCTTAGGACTTTGTCTCTTATTTCTCCTTGCTTCTGTTTGGCTTCAATTTCAGTGGCTCCTTTCAGGAGGCAGTAAGATGAATACGGACAGCTCTACCCTTACGCACTCTCGATTCCTGAGGAAAAGAACATGCTCTTCCTATTGTCTATGTCAGAATTTCTGGATTCTGATTAGCCTGATTTGTCTTGCACCAATCCCGTTCCCAGGGCATGAAATACTTGGATTGTCCAAGCCAGGGTCACGTTCCCAACCTGGAGGCCAGGTTCCAGGTAAGGCACCCTGTCTGACCATCCCCAAAGAACCGCATGCGATTGAGAGAGGTGCATCTGAGTGGCAAATAATACACCTCTAGTGGAATGGCAATGAGACAACTAGACGTTTCTCCTGCAGTTGACTGTCAAGACTCTGGCAAGCAGTGAAGGTGACTTTAAAACATGTGAACAAGCTAAATCTCTTCCGAGTTAGCCCTGCCTTCAAAGGCTCCAGAGCTTGGCCCGCACTATAAGGAGAACCAAAACAGATCTCTAACACTAAAATTCAAGGACTTTTTAAGTTTCTTTTTGACCTTCCTAGGAAGGTTTTTAAAGGTTTGCTAACCAGTTGGACAAACAAACAGAATTCCTTGGGAAGAATGTTTGGAACCAAACCACACCCCACACCCACTAAAACCCCCTCCCTCTGTCACCACACACACACACGCACACACACACGATGCAAGGCTGAGAGAAACCAGTGCAAGTGTTTGGGGAGTGGGGGTGGACACAGGAGAGAAGAAGATCACAGTTCCTGGCCTGGAAGCCTGGGAAAGGAGCTGCTTTTGTTTAGGGCAGCTGCCTCCAATCACCCCAAAAGGTGTTTAGTCAGATTGGATTCTCCAAATAACTGAATTCCATCCCTCCCCCTGCTGGGGCTGTGTAGCTTTTGGAAGTGATTAGAACTGCCTGGAAACCCTGAGTTGGAAAGGTAAGCAGAATGGGGAGCTTGATTCAGTCAGTCCCATTCTGGGCTTGGGCAGATCCAGTGACTGCCCTGGCATCCTGGGCGCCAGACCATCCTCTGCCTTGCTCTGTGCCAGCAGATCCAGGTGGTTGCTTGGGTTCACAGGGAGCTTTGCAGCCTGGGGAGAGCAATACCCCTTGAATCTCAGCTGCAGCGTGAGTGCAGGACTAGGCTTCAAACACTATAGTGCATGGCCATGACTATAGCCTGAAGGACAATTTTAAAATATTCAGACCTGTAGGATGTGGGCCTTGGACCCTGCAAATTTTAGGGGCAAACGTGTCTCTAGCACTATCAATTCAAGGCCTTTTATAGTGTAAGAAACACGTACTTAAAATAAATCTAATTTCGATCATGGTGCAAAGAGAAATGTCTCTTTCCCAAAAGATGGTTTACTATTACTGAAGAAACATACTTTCAATTTCACTGGATTTGCCTTTTAATTAAGTAGGTTTGCCATTAAGAGTCATATAGGATAGGGGCACCTGGATGGCTCATTCAGTTAAGTGTCTGACTCTTGGTTTCAGCTCAGGTAATGAGATTGAGCCCTGCATCAGGCTCCACACTGGGCATGAGGCCTGCTTAAGATTCTCTCTCTGTCTCTCTCTCTCTCTCTCTCTCAGAAAAAGAAAGAAAGAAAGAAAGAAAGAAAGAAAGAAAAGAAAAGAAAAGAAAAGAAAAGAATCACATAGGATAATCCACCATGAGGAATACTTACAAACTGACATATTCTATTTGGTTTGACTTAAAAAGTATTTAATTAATTAATTATTTAATTTTACTCACTAGATTACTGGGTTATTAAAAAAGGATAAAAAAAAAAAAACCCAGTGAAGAATTATACAGGGCCAGGTCCCCAACAAAGGAGCTTCTGTCCACACGGAGTTTGGGGCCTGGCCAGTGGCACATGGCAGCGTTCTGGTTTGCCAACCTGGAAACTCCCAAATCCCATACTACTGGGATTTTTATGGAGGTCTTCTCAGGTAGGAATGATCAAGTTTTAACTCTGTTTTCAACTCCCGTCTCCTCTCTGGAGAATGGAAGGTGGAGGGCTGAGAATTCCAAGCTTCAAATTATGACTTGTCTTTCTGGTGACCGGCTCCCATCCAGGAGGCATCCAGAAGCCCACGCGGGGTCACCTCAAGAGAACAACAGATACTCCTTGTGCTCTTATTGCTGAGGACCTTAATGAGTATGTTAAAGGTATATATTTGTGTTTTATTTTTATAATTTCTTTTGATATTTTTATGGGTTGAAATGGAGTTTTCAAGAATTTGTGTGAGATTTGGAATATTTCATTTACAGGGAAATTTGTCAGATTTCACCTATAGGTCAATCCTATGAACGATGATCGAGTAGGAACAAATTACATTCTTGCTGGGGTCACCTTCCAGTCACTTTTGAGAGTCACCTGTCAGAGTGCTTTTTGTAAGTGGTCACTTGCCTGCTCTGCCCATTAGCCAATTTGTGGCCCAGCGCAGAGCAGCCAGGAACTTTGCTACCTCACGAAGCTGATTTCCTGACGCATTCCCCTCTGTTGCAGGATTCTGGACCATCTTCAAAGGCCTTTGCCTGGTTTTTGTCAAAGCTTGAAAATGTGAAGGGACAATAAATATGCAATCTGCTTTAATTTATAATGTTATTTTAATTCTAAAAAGTGTCCCCAGATACAGTAAATACAGTTGGTGCTAGACTGATGGATAATAGAATAATTCTGCAAATAAAATACAGAAGAATAGGTTCCTTTAAGATAATGTATTTTGACTGGTGTTAGCTTCTAATATGGCAGATTGTGTTAGAGTTTTCAAAGCTGTTTGAAGTCTGTAGATGTTTTCAGTTTTAGTAAACTCAAAAACAGATGTTTAAAAAGTCTTATTGTGCGTTTGTACAAATGGTGTATAGGAAGAGTGTTTGCAGAACACAGATTACCTCAGCCCTGTCCTGTGAATCTCTGTCTTCGGTTGTGTTTTTTATGGTCTGTGGTACATAAACTTTTTAGACAGTGGGAGGAGACAGTAGCTGAAATAAAATTAAATTTCTTACCATGGGAGAACTTTTATTACAACTTCCTCTGTGACTGAGCAGAACCCAGAAAGAATAGACAGTCTTTAGCCACAGAATGCTCTTGAGGCATTTCTGAGAAATATATTTAATTTGTATAATCACTGGGTAAAAAAAAAACTATTTCTGGTAAGTAGTCCACACAGCTAAGTGCTGTCAAAACCACATAAAATTTGGGTTCAGATCAAACTATATTCTTACTAACTATGTATGCTCAAAGGAATTAGAACACCATCTATGAATTAGGGAATAATTACTGACCCAATAAGGATATTCTGAGGAAGAAGTAAAGTAAACGAGTCACGAAATCCACATATAATAGGTGATCAGCACTAATATGAACGTATGTCTGGCCATGACTTTTCACACTATTCCAGTTAATAGTACTTGACATCTGACACATGTACCCACTTCAAAAAAGCAACAGTTCATCTGAAGCTTTGCAGAGATGAAACATAATAAATGCAGTACAAATTTAATGCCATATAAATGTATTTTAACTCGTGTAAGCACTGGAAGAAATGACTATAAATACAGTATTTTCCCATTTTATTAAAATTTTTGTCTTTACCTCATGTTAATAAAATGTACATATTCATATATTAAAATCTGAATAGCTTTGTTTCACTTGTTTGGAATTAAGATGCGGTTTTTCATTACTTTACCCCAATTACTTTATGATGTATTATTAATCTTTCACAGCTTGTTTTTTGAATGTTTGTGTATTTTTGAGAGAGAGAGAGAGAGAAAGAGTGTCCATTTGGGGGGAAGGGGCAGAGAGAGGGAGACAGAGAATCCCAAGCAGGTGCCGCATTGTCAGTGCAGAGCCTGACAAAGGGCTCAATCCCACGAAACATGAGATCATGACCTGAGATGAAATCCAGAGTCAGAGGCTTAACTTGACTGAGCGCCCAGGCACACGGCACTTCTGACCACCTAAACATTTTCTTCCTTGGCTCTCCTTTAGCATCAAATCTAAAATGTTCCAAGATGAACCTCAAGTTTATTATCCTTCTTCAACTTCTACCTCCAAACAGCCATTCCTTTTGCTATTTCTGTTAATGGTGCCTTTTGTCCACGTCACCTAAACTTGAAATTTCCTCCCTTTCTTTTAACTTCTTATCCAAACTGCTAAATTATTAAAATATTAACTTGAAATCATTTTGCCATGTAATTTACATATATTATATATATGTACATATATATAATAGCACATATATGTGTCTACATGTTAGAGCTTGCGTATATGTGTATATACACACACACTAGCTCTCTGTGTCCTATCATTTATATGTATGTACATATATACCTAACTAAATATATATATATATATATATATATATATACACATATATACCTGTATATGTAAAGAGCAAGTATTTTGTTGTTACTATATGAGATACAGAGAACCTTACATTACAGAAGTAATGTTTCATTTATTCTACTCTTCCAGTCATGAAGTTGATATTATGATTAGTTCCATTTTTCAGATAAGGAAAGAGTTTCTGGAACTTACTTAAGCTCAAACAAATAAGAAAGAAAAGGGTTGGGGTTTCAAATCCAGATCAGTATGACCCCAAAGCTTACATGATCTTCTATATATTCCATCCCTCTGAATCACAATGTCACTTCTGTTCTTGAACCCGTATTAACCTCTATTACATTCTCTCCTTTCTGTACCGTGTGTTTTGCCCTCATTGCAATTTACAATTCATCACATGATTCATTCTCTTAAAACACAGTTGTATCTAGTCTTTCTTCTACTAAAAAATTGTGAATGGCTTCTTACTGCAAACTGCCTCTGTTACCTTTATGCCATCCCTCTATTAAGGTTCTCCAGAGAAACTGAACTAATAGGTGTGTATATCTAGAAACAAACTTATTTTAGGAAAGTGGCTCACGTAATTGTAGAGTTTGACAGATTCAATATCTGCCAAGTAGGCTGGCAGACTAGACACCCAGGGCTTAGCCAGTTTTACAGTTTAAGTGCAAAGACTGTCAAGGTTGAAGACACATGACAGAAGAATTGTTGCAGATGAAGTCCAAAGGCAGTCTGTTGCAGAATTCCCTCTTGCTGAGGGAGGTCAGCCTTTTGTTTAATTCATACCTTCAACTGACTGGATGAGGCCCACCCACATTATGGAGGACAGTCTACTTTACTCAAAATCAATCAATTTAAATGTAAATCTCTTTCAGAGTAATGTTTGGCCAAATATCCAGGCACCTTGGCCCAGTCAAGTTGATACATAAGAGTAACCAATATGGAAACTATTCAACAGGTTCCTTATAATTTAGCAAAACTGGGCACTTATGGGTATCTCAAACCACCCTATTATATCCTATCTTCTCCCTTTAATGGCACTATTACCTTCGCTTGAACAGCTCACTCCTCTTGCAACTTACCATTCAATAAAAAAAACAGGCTTAATGAATGAAGAGATAAATATAAGAAGAAAATGAAAAATGGCACTCGATATATTAAAGCTAGTATTTCCTGAAGTCATAAAAATAAGGCTTTCCATAAATGCTAACCCAGCCACCAGAGTTATTTGTTATACAAACAGTAACTCTGGAATTTTGCTTTTTTATCTGAAATGTAAAGTGATGAGTAACACAGCATCACTGGTCAGTAAAACTTTCTGTGATGATAAAGATACTGTGGCCTGTACTATCCAACATGGTAGCCACTAGCCACATGTGGCTATTAAGCACTTGAAATGTAGTTAATTAAAATAGTTAATTAAATAGTTAATTATTTTTACTAATGAATGCAATTTTCTCATTTCATTTAATTTTTGTTAATTCAAATTAATGTGGCTATATGTGGCCAGTGACTACTGCGAGCAGTGCATGACTCAACAATCTAGAGAGTCTCCTAATTTAATTCTTTTTAAAAATTCTGTCATAGTATTTAATTCTAACTGTGTAATCAGATAGGTTGGAAACTTAAATTTCCATAGAAATACTGTTAAATAGAGATTATGAAACTGACAATGGAATTTTCTGGAAAATAGCTCAATCTGTATTTGGTGTAAGATATTCCTATATGACAAAACTATTTAATAATAATGAGGAAAAATGCACACAATTCACTTTACAGTGTAAAGTGCTTCATACCTTAATTTCTATATTAGCAAAACAGAGCTAAAAATAAATATTTTATTGGTGTAATCATGAGCACCAAATGGAATAATACATGTTTTAGTAGTTTTTAAGCATGTAGCAGATCCTCAATGTAGTGTTTTTCTCCCCGATAAATTTTTTAAGTTAATTTCAAAAATGTTTCCTATATAACCGTATGATAGTCTGAAGGGTAATCTTTGTTTTTATTTCTTGTTGACTTTGGTTTTGTTTCTTAAAAAAAAAAAAATTAAGCCACAAAGAACAACAATAAAAAAACCACAGTGCCATATAAATCACAAGTCAAAGCAGGGCAGAGTTCAAACACTAAACAAAAGAAAAACATTCTTCACCTTGAAGGCCCTTTTTTTCCCAAGCCAGCAAGCTAAAGGATTTCTCCATCCCTGTTGGTGCTGGCAAGGACGCCACAGCCTATTTGTTTTCCTTCTCATCTCCCTTTGCTTCAAGTGCTCATTTCTAAGCCTTGCCACCGGAGATCCTGGCCCCCATCCTTTGAAAGAGACCCTATCATTTAGGAAAGGACTTGGGGCGGCCAGGTTGCCTAGCGGCTCCATGCCCCCTCAGGGCTGCCAAATATGTGGGAGTAACTTCCTGCTCCTTAGGGGCTGTGCCCTGGCACCCTCATTGCCAACAGCTGTGTGGGGTCTATTCTCGCCAGGGGCCTCCCATGCATTGCTGAAACATTCTTGGAAAGCCGAGTTCCAAAGCTAAACAAACAGCACAGATAAAGTTTGCAACAATATGCATTGGCATTTTACAGCATGGTTATGAGGACCGTTTA